CAAATAGTATGCAAGTTAGATATAATAAACCCAGAATATATAATAAAAACGGCATCAATAGAAGCTACAAATCAAGATCAAGAAGATTTTAAAATACAAATTAAAGAACTATTAGAATTAGGAGTAATAAGAAGATTTACTTCAAAACATAGATATGCAGCATTTATGGTAAGAAATCATAGTAAAATAGTTAGAGGAAAAGCTAGAATGGTTATAAATTACAAAAGACTAAATGATAATACTAGAACTGATGGTTATAAATTACCAGACAACACAGAATTAATAAATAGAATTCAAGGAAAAACAGTTTTTAGAAAATTTGATTGTAAGTCCGGATATTGGCAGATAAAAATGCACCCAGATAGTATAGAATGGACAGCTTTTACCTGCCTTGAAGGACATTTTGAATGGTTAGTTATGTCATTCGGGTTAAAAACCGCACCTCCAATATTCCAAAGAAAAATGGATCAAATATTTGGAGAATATAAAAAATTTATTTTAGTATATGTAGATGATATTCTAGTATTTAGTAAAAATATAAAAGAACATTTAGGACATTTACAAACTGTTTTTAGACAATTTGTTAATAATGAAATAATAATTAGCAAAAAAAAATAGAACTATGTAAAAACTATAGAAACTTTTTAGGGATTACTTTAGGAGAAGAAAAGGTTAAACTACAACCTCATATAGCTAAAAAAGCTCTAGATATGCCAGATAAATTAAATAATTTAAAAGATTTACAAAAATTTCTAGGTATAATTAATTATGCAAGACCTTTTATTAAAGATTTAGGAAAAATAGCAGGACCATTATACTCTAAGACAGGAACTAAAGGACAAAAAAAATTTAATATTGAAGACATAAAATTAGTACAAAAAATAAAAGAAAAAAAATATTCCCGATCTTAATATGCCATTAGAATCAGACTATTTAATAATAGAGACAGATGGAAGTTTTGAGGGATAGGGTGCAGTATTAAAATCAAGACCACATAAATACAGTTCTAAACAAGAAGAAAAAATATGTGCTTATCAAAGTGGAAAATTCAAAGAAAAGGGTAATAAAGCTAGTATAGATGTTGAAATTTTAGCTGTAATATATGGTTTAAATACTTTTAGAATTTATATTCTAAATAAACCAGAAATATTAATAAGAACAGATTGTGAAGCTATAGTAAAATTTCATCAAAAAATTAATGATAAAACTAGTAGTAGAAGAAGATGGCTAATTTTTTTAGATACTATATCAATTTATCATTCTAGAATTTTTGAGCATATCAAGGGAAATGATAATAGTATTGCAGATCAACTAAGTAGATTACTGATCAAAGTTTAAATTTTACAGAATGAGACATCTACTATCAGACAAAGGTAAAAGGGTTCAACCTTCAACCCAGGTTTGGCAGATTCTTACATACAGACAATGTTAGCAAATTTGCATTTTAAACCTCTAGATAAAATTGATGATGTTAGAATAGAAAGACTGCAGTTTAGACAACAAAATTTAATAGCATACGAACCGTCTAATTGGACATTCAGACATTTATCTAACTGTCAATTAGACAAACAACAAACATGCCTTATAGACAATATATGGATAGCTCGTAATAAAAAAGACACTAAATATGTAATTGCAGTTTTAAATGTTTTAGGATATTATTTTACTAGAAAAAATAAAGAAAATAGATTTAAATATTATGTAGTAATTCATGGTAAAACAAGTGGTGTTTTTCAGATATGGATAGAAGTTTTAGACTCTATTAAAGGTTTTCAAAAACCTCTTTTTAAAGGTTTTAATGATTTTACAGAAGCTTTAGACTATGCTAGAGGAATATTAGGGCCAAATTACTGTATTTCTCCAGCCCTTAGACAAAACCCCGATAAAACTCCACAATACAACATCCAAAAAGACACAAATAAAGTAATATTTTGTGATCATTGCTCACCCATGACCGAAGCATTCAAAAGGCTAAATTTGAGAAATGAAGCTCTAATGCAAGAAAATGCCAAACTCAGAGAAAGACTCCAAAGAATGGAAAGCAAAGGTAAGACTAAACAAGATGTACAAACTCAGACAGATATACAAGGTTTTCCATCCCAAATAAAAATGGATGAGATGGGTGTGCATTCCCCACTGAATGCTAAGAAATCCACTGTATCGGATGAAGATACAGCTAGTCCGGTTCAAACGGTAGCCGGTAAAGACTTCTCAAACCTGTTGATGGCTGTCACTTTGCCAAAAAGTGAAAAAGATGAAGGTTCATCTTCTAGAAGAAGGTTACCACTTTCATTTAACCAGACTATTAGACAAAAAATTAAAAAATCCCAAAAAAATAAAGATCTAGAATCCCTTATAACCCAAACTGTAGAAAATTACTTAAACAAAAACAAGAAAAAGATAAACGTATAAACCCAAGCCCAATACAAAGCCCAAAACAAGATTCTGTTTCAAGCCCAAATAATTCAGATAATATTTCAGACTCAATGCAATTTGCTCAAGACCCAAATGATGATGACTCTGGTATGAGTTTTGATTCAATTGCATTACATAATTTAGACACTTAAAAAAATCTATTATTATTATAGTATTAAAGAGGAATGCCTCTTTTGTCAAAAAAAATGTGAGTCTCACTTTACTCACTACCACACATGTGGAAAAACTGTTGGAACGCGTCTTTACTTTAAAAATAAAAATAATGTATAGGTAAGAAATAAGTATTGACAGACAGATATCAGACTAGAAGGATAATAATGCAAGAAAAGGAACATTATTTCACCTGACGATGGGGCCCAGATGTGTACCCGACTGAGATGATAAGATTCCTTTTCCATTTGAAATCCGAAGATCTCTATAAAAGCAAGCATTATCAAGACAAGAAAAGGCAGAAGGCGAAAAAGGCTAAGACAACCACAACAAAAACTCTCTCAAAATCCTCGAAAAACAACCCCTTTTCTCTTTAAAATTATCTTTTAAAAGATTGTAGTAAAGATTTCAGTTCTTTATTCTAAAAGTTTTTTTTAAGTAAAAGTTTGGAAGCTTTTCGGGTTTCCCGAAAGGGAAACTTCACTCTGTGCTAAATAATGTAATTTTTCATATTTATGTTTCTAGTAAACTTCCCATATATGTAAATTATGCGTGTTTATAAAATGTTAATTATTCGATAAATTCATGTAAATTTATGAATATCATCATGAATCTATATTACTTAGTATATGGTTAGTCTCTTAGCTTCTTAAAAGGTAATCGATGGATTAACCTGTAAATTCCTAGGACATTGTCAGGTTAAATGTTCTGAGAAAAGAACTATGAATAACCAAATTCGGGGTGTGGTTAAAGAAGATTACTTTTAAGAACAAAGGCTAAGAGAAAAAGATGAACAGTAATAATATATTCATGAATGGACAGAGTCCATAAAAATAATAATAATAATAATATATATATATATATATATATATATATATATATATATATATATATATATATATATATATATATATATATGAGGTTGTAATTTAACCTTCCCTTCTCCTAAAGTGATTCCTAAAAAATTTATATAATTTTTACATAATTCTATCTTCTTTTTACTAATTATTATTCCATTATTAACAAATAATCTAAAGACTGTTTGTAAATGTTCTAAATGTTCTTTTATATTTTTACTGAATACTAAAATATCATCTACATATACTAAAACAAATCTTTTATATTCTCCAAATATTTTATCCATTTTTCTTTGAAATATTGGAGGTGCTGTTTTTAATCCAAATGGCATAACTAGTCGTTTCTTTTTTAATAATGACAAATAAAAAGGAGATAATGGAATAGAAATAATTCAGACAAAGGACGGATGATAATGCAAAAGAAGGAATCATTTCACATGCGATGGGGCCCAATGCGCACCCAGCGGAAAAGATGAAATTATTTTTCACTCTGAAGTCCGAAGTTTGAAGTCCATATTTGTGTATATATAGAAGACATTATTAGAATAAGAAGGAGTGTGGAAGAAAAGCAAGAAGAGCAAAAATCTACTAATTCTAATAATTCTTTAATTTGTATTTTAAAGTCTTCTTGATCTTGATTTGTGGCTTCTATCGCGGCTGTTTTTATTATATATTCTGGGTTTATTATATCTAGTTTGCATACTATTTGATTATTTTCCCAATGTTTTAAAGGTTTTTCTCCTATTATTTCTATTTGATCTAATATTTTTACTATATTATCAAGATCCTTTTGATTTTTTATTTGTCCTATCTGCTGAATTCCTGTCTTAAAATTATATAATTCTGTCTCCATTTCTATTAGAACATAGTTTTTATTAACTATTTCATTTTCTTCATCTATTTCTAGTATATTCTCATATAATGTATTACATTCCTTCTTAATACATTTTATATTATTTTCACAGTTGTCACAACATTTTTCTTTATGTCTTACTTTAGTGTCAATTTTGTTAGTTAAAACTGAAGTATAAGTAGTATTTTTCATAAAAAGTATTCCGTCTCTAGTTATTAAAGTTCCTCCTTTGTTGTGTAGTATAAAGTCTAGTCCTAACACAAAATCTACTCTTAGAATCAATAAAAGAAATAGTTCTTTCATGATAGATTTAATAGAAGTAGAAACACATAAAGAAGCAATAAGATTAATAGAAAAAAAGATAGTTCTTCCATCAGATTATAAAGAATTTAACCCATCTTAAATGTCAGATCAAGTTATTATACAACAAAATAATATAATAATATCACTTTTATTACAATTACATAAAAAGATAGATAAAAAAGAAAAATCTGAAGGGAAAAACATAAGCACAACTGGAGTAGAAGAATTAATAGAAAAGCTAAATAAAATAGAAATTACTCCTCAACAAGAAAAAATAGTTAAAAACAGAAAAAATGGATATTTTTCCAACTAGATCAAGAGATAAAAGACCAGGACCTAGTTACACCCAGAATAAAATAAGTAATAATTTTATATCAAAAATATTAAATAGAAAGGCAAGAGAAGAAAATAGTCAACAATTAGACGAAATTATAGATACAGATAAAGATATACAAATTTTCCAACAGAATCAATTAAATTTATTAAATCCAAAAGTTTTATATAATACAAATTCAAAATCTCAATTATATAGACATTATAGAGAGGAACAATTATCGGTATTAGGAAAAAACTCTGTATCTTTACCCCTCATAAATGAAGAATCTGTAAAAGAAATAAAATATGTTAGAAAAAATTTAATGCATTTAGGATTAATAGTAATAGGAATTAAAGGATTAACTAGAAAAAATTTAGGAACAAAGACATTAATTACCATATATGATAATAGATGGTCAGATATAAATGTTTTTCCTCTAACTATTTCATTATGATTTCTTACCATGAAGGCTGCTGATCTATGTTTTGAAGCCATCAGAATTTCAGTATTTAGTATCATTAGGACCAAATCCTTATAATTTTAAAAATAAAATACATACATTGATAACAGGAGAAGATCCAAATAGTGGATTATTAGCTTTACAATGAAATGCAGTAATAAAATTAGAACAATTAAGTTTAAGTAATTGGTATTATATAAAGAAATTTTTAAATGATTATTTCTATTATTGTACAATTAGTGAAAATGCTTTTGACCAAGACCTAGGCAAAAAATTATTTAATAAACTACCAGGAGCCTTAGGAAGAGAAATAGAAGAAAGATGGACTAAAAGAGAAGGAGTAGCACAAAACCCTCAAGCTAAATGGTCAATAGGACATAGAATACAACATATAATGGAGATATTACAAGAAAAATGTACTAATTTACAAATACAAAAACAATTAAAACAAAATGAAATGAATTTCTGTAAAGACATAATATATACAACCCAAAGTTATGATAAAGACCAATATAAAAAGAAAAAGTATAAAAGATATAACCCACAAAATAATAAGAAATATAATAAAAAAAGATATTTTCTTAGAAGATCTTCAGCCAGAAAACCATATTTAAACAGAGATAGACATGTTAGAAAATATAGAACGGATAGAAATTATAAAAATAAATTAGAATGCTTTACATGTGGAAGTATAGAACATTTAGCAAATACTTGTCCTAAAAGATATAATGCCAAGACTAGAAACGCTCAATTAGTAGAAGAATTTAATGAAGCACTATTAAATGTAGATGAATATATGTCAGATAATGAAAGTATTTATTCTATAGTAAGTATTGATATAGATGAAAATAACAAATAAGAAGACTCTTCTAATTCAGAAGGAGAAGAATTAATTAATGAAATAAGAATAGAAAATTTAAACATGGATGACTTAAAAATTAATTTTATGAATATAATAGAATGTGAACATAATTTTGAAAAAAATACTGGATTAGATAGTAATCCATGTAATTGGTGTAAATGGTATCCAAGTAAATATAAAAGAGCTAAACTTTTATTAAATATACAATCCTACTCAGTACTCCTTCACTCTCTTGTTCTATTATGTAATTATCATATTAGTTTCTAGTTTAAACTTTTTTTTTATGGACTCTGTCCATTCATGAATTTATTAATACTGTTCATCTCTTTCCCTTAGCCTTTGTTCTTAAGAGTAATCTTCTTTAACCCCACCCCGAAAATGGTTATTCACAGTTCTTTTCTTAGAACATTTAACCTGATCCGTCCTAGGAATTTACAGGTTAATCCATCGACACTTTTAAGAGGCTAAGAGATTAACCATATACTAAGTAAAATAGATTCATGACAATATTCTTATATTTACATGAACTTAGCAAAAATTAAACACACATAATTTACATATATGGGAAGTTTAACAGAAACATAGATATGAAAACTTACATTATTAGAACAGAGTGAAGTTTCCCTTTCGGGAAACCCGAACGACTTTCAAAGTAACTTTACAAAAACTTGAAACAAGATCTAAGAACCTAAAGAAAATATTTATATATATATATATATATATATATATATATATATATATATATATATATTATTTTTTTAAAAAAAAAGATCTTTGGAGGGATGATTTGCGGGTTGTAGATTTTTGCTCTTCTTGCTTTTCTTCCACACTCCTTCTTCTTCTAATAATGTCTTCTATATATACACAAATATGGACTTCAAACTTCGGACTTCAGAATGAAAAATAATTTCATCTTTTCCGCCGGGTGCGCATTGGGCCCATGGCACGTGAAATGATTCCTTCTTTTGCATTATCATCCGTCCTTTGTCTGAATTATTTCTATTCCATTATCTCCTTTTTATTTGTCTTTATTCAAAAAGAAACTTTATTTCTTAATGCCTGTCTATTTTAAAATAACATAAAGACGCGTCCCAACAGTTTTTCCACAAATGTGTGGTGGTGAGTAAAGTGGGACTCACATTGTTGACCAAAGAGGCATTCCTCTTTTTGACTGTATTTTTATTTTTTATTTATTTATTTGTGTGTCTAAGTTGTGTAAAGCAATGGAATCAAAACTCATACCCGAATCATAGTCGTTTGGGTCTTGAGCAAATTGCATAGTGTCTGAAAAACCATCTAAATTATTTGGGCTTAAATCTGAATTTTGTCTTAGGCTTTGTATTGGGCTGGGGTTTATATGTTTGTCTTTGTCTTGTTGTTCTTTAAGTAGTTTTTCTACAGTCTTGGTTATGATGGATTCTAAGTCTTTATTTTTTTGTGATTTTTTGGTTTTTTGTCTGATTTTTTTGCTAAAAGAAATTGGTAGTTGTCTTCTTGAGGATGAGCTCTCTTCTTTTTCACTTTTTGGCAAAGTGACAGCCATTAACAGATTTAAGGAGTCTTTACCGGCTACCGTTTGAACCGGACTAGCTGTATCTTTATCCGATACAGTAGATTTATTTACATTCAGAGGCGAATGTACACCCATCTCCTCCATTTTTATTAGGGATGGAAAACCCTGTATATTGATCTGATTGTCTTTTATCTTTAAGTCATTCTCCATTTTTGTCATCCTGTCTTTTAGCTGGAGATTTTCTTGAGCTAGTAATTCGTTTTTGAGATTTAGTCTCTTGAAAGCTTCAGTCATTGAAAAACAATGATCGCAAAATATAATTTTATCTGTGTCTTTCTGAATATGGTATTGAGAAATTTTGTCTGGATTTTGTTTAAGAGTGGGAGAGATATAGTAGTTTGGGCCTAATACCCCTCTAGCATAATCTAGTGCTTCAGTAAATTATATATATATATATATATATATATATATATATATTACTCTTT